TTTTTCTGATAGGATAATAATTGCAGATTCGTTCTTATAGATATTATTCGGTTGTTTGAATATATATGTTTTGTTGCATAAGAAATGAAATATCAGCAAGATAAAAAGTAAATTGGCAAACAATCTTAGAGATTTATAAAGTTATAATTATTTGTTAAGTTAAATAAAAGAGGGTTACGAATGCCGACCTCTTAGAATGGATTTTAAAGGACTCCGCACAAAACCTATGGAAAATGGTTTTCGGTCAAATTGGCTGAAATTTCACTATGTTATAGTTTTCGCCATGTTGATAAAAAGTTATCATTGCACCAAGTCCCAAAAGTCAATATTTCCCAAGATATAAAGGATCAAAGTAGTGAAATATGGTCATCCGCAGTAGTAAGACGTATGTTATAAGTATAAGTGATACATTGATATTTATTCACGAAATAAATAAAAATCGATTTTTACATATATATATGTAATAAATATTTAGTTCCGCAATATTTTTAAGATCTGAAACAGTTTTTTGTAAAACTTATATTTTTCGAGATATTTCACCGGTCTAATACTTTTACCCCACCCTCTATATACATATACATATATATTGCGGAACTAAATATTCTTGATAAGACCGCGAAATTCCCGTTAAAATTGGAAGTATCCTATATAATAAATGATTAGCCACACCTGTAACTACACGATGTACCGCTGTCCTCATCCGGCATACTACATCCTGACTCTCGACTGCTCTGTCATGGCACTCCGTCATGGCACTGACACTGACACTCGCGTACGGATATCATTCGAACGGAGAACGTGTGTGAATTGACGCGAGGGCGACGATAACCCAATTAAATATTCCAAGAACCGATAAAATGTTTCAATCACTCGACGGGAATTACAACGGACAATATACCGCGTCACGGCGTGCGCGTCGTTCGTCGGCTCGAGACACAATAATACGGTCGCGGAAAAGTACGCGACGCATAACAGTATCGAGGCGATCGGCAAGAAAGGCAATGTTGTTCCTTCTCCCCTCCACGTCCGTTGACAACTGTTGTCGTCCGCCAAACAATAACACGCACGTAAACTTGGTGACTTGGTTACCGTTATCAGCGCGTTCTCGAAATATTTCACGAGTTCTTTTTTAATTTATCAATGTCGTCTATTTACTATTTTATTATTTATATTTAAAGAATCGCTGCATTCACTGCACCGAATTAGAATTTCAGTCTTTAACGGTGCGCAGCGTACTGACAAAATTCAAAAGTTTAGCTACATTTTGATGTAAACATTTTTTATAAACGACAGCAAGAATTAAACTCTAATAAGATCTAATAAGATCTAGATAACTGATTGTAAATATTCTATATAAAGATGTTCATCTCATTTATCTCATTTATTGGGGAAGTTTATCGTTTCCTTCGCTATTCAAGATACGATCTCCACGCGAAAAATAACAAATGTATATAAATCGACTCGCGTCGAGAGATTGTTTCGCGACAGAGTCGTCAAAACTTTGTGAGTAAACTGAGATCGAGCGCGACAACGGCGCGACGTGCAAATGACGATAAATCGTTCAATTCACTAATGCCACTTTCTCTCTCTCTTTCTCGCGACAGGCAAAGTCAATTTGCGAAAACCGTGAAGAATACTCCAGATGTGGAAGAACGCGACATAGGATCTCGTGACGCCGCCATTCGCCGGGAAACTTTCGGGTCGCCGATAAAACGAGCCGAGACTGACGCGTATCACATTGTAACCGAATTTCATATTGAGGAGGAAGAAAGAAAAATGGCAATGATGGAACACATTACACGATAAGGAGCACATTGTTTAAGATAATGGCGGCTCGGTGTGTACCTTAATCTGTCTTGACACGAAATTCCGCGCTGCCGGCATTTTCGCCGCTGGTTTAGCGTTAAAACGAGCGGCTGTCTCGCGCTGCCGTGACGCGTCGACGAAAAAATATCGCGTTGAATAAATCGCGAGAGTGCAAATTGAGCGGGTCCATGTCCCAGCCGCGCGAATAAGTCTGGAACCGTAGGGCGCACAGCGCGAATGTGTTAATCTCGCCCCGAACTCATTCTCATTTCGCTTCACCGTGGAATATTTATATACTCGGATTCACTTTTTGAAGCGCGTCGCTCGGAATTAATTCGACAATGCCGCGAACGCGGAGGACGGGAGTGTCCACCTAATTTAGCATCGAGTCCATTTCGTTCCCTTTCCGAGCGGTGACTTCGCAATACGGCCGTAGACGTACTTCGTTGCGATCGCTTATTGAGACGAGCATGAATCGCGGAATCCGACCGCGTCGCGTGTATTCGTGCGGAATCAATTCGCCGGAGTCCCGCCGGAAGGAGATATAGAGCGACCCAAGCTCGCTTTTGTATACAGATTCCTCGAGCAATTTGGAGCTCTCCAGCGGGAACGTTGGGGATCCATTACCCGTGTGTATATGCGTGCATGTATGTGTGTGTGTGTCACGCGACAATCGAGAATTGCGAATTTTTGTGAAATGAAGTTTTCCTCGAGCGAACACTGAAATCCCGTCCGAGAATTTTTCATACGCGTGATCGAGGCGGTGGCAAAAATTGGCGAACGTTGTCTAAACGACGTGGTGCAGCAGCGACAGTAGCAGCGGTAGTAATACCGGTAGTGGAGATACACGAGGACAACACCTCGCACGTACACGAACACATCGGCCAAAGCGGTCGGCGTGACCGAGGTCTCATCGGCGCTCTCTATGAGTTTCGGTTAACCGCCGGCGAATGGATCGACAGCGATCGATCGCGACGAGATAGTCCGCCGGCTTGCGGTGAGGAATGGCGGCGGTGAACGCGGAACAGCCGCATTTCCGTCGCGTTTCTCTCCAGCAGGGGACGCGTGAAAAAAAGTAAGTCACGGAATGCGATTGCCGGTCGGGTCGTAATAAAAATCGCCCCTCCTCTCCGCAATAAGGCGGCCGGTCTCGCTAGTACGCTAATAATAAATCATGGAATCCGCCGCGCCAGCGATGCGTGCGAACCCGAGAGAGAGAAAGGTGCGTCGCACGCACTGGAGGTGCAATCTCTCGTTAGAGAGATTTAATTGCGGCAAGTCGCGAGGTCCCGGACACCTCGCGTTAAAGCGAGCAAAAATTCGGCCGCTTTTTTTCCAAAAACGACCGCGAATAAATTGATAATCGAGCCGGCTCGCGACGTTCCTCACGAGCGCCGATAACCCACGCGAATGCCGATATATTTTCACCGATAATGATAACAGCCATTTAACGCACACTACTTTGCGCGCAACTTGTACGATCGTCGCTGTCTCTATCGCAACGTACACACACATACCTACATTTTAATTGTAGCATAATGATAATTACGAGGTTAATTGTATAAAACAATATTCCGCTTATTTCCGCTAATGAGTAAATATGAAATATATAATATTAACCGTGGATACTTACCAAATCGCACACGGTACAGTAAACAAAGGTAATAGTATTTTCGCAGAGATCCCGATGAGAGCGATTGGTAACAACGTTTGTTCGCGTTGCAAATTTGTTGCATGCGCGTATAGAGTGCTCGCGAGACACATCTCCACGGCAACGAGCTCGCGTGAAATCTTATTAACGATCGGAGGCCCGCTTCCATAGACACTTATCTGTCGCCGTTAAGAGGATCAAGTAGTCGTCAATCGATATTGAGAGCATTTCTCCGCTTTTCCAGAGAGAGAGGGAAGCTCGTGGAGGACTCGCGGATACATCGCGCGGGATGCCACCACGTAGGAAGATCGTTCCCGAGCGCGAGTCCGCGAGTTCGCACGCAACGAATGACGCGCGCGTCGTGCGTGTGAAAGGAGCATATGGCGCTTTGTATACATGAGGCAATCGTCCTGCCTCCTCGCGCTTTTCGATGCCACCTGTTACGTAAATGCGAATGCTCGGAAGAGGCAGGGCGAAGGAGATAGATAGATAGATAGATAGATAGATAGATAGAGAGAGAGAGAGAGAGAGAGAGAGAGAGAGAGAGAGAGAGAGATAGGTGGATAGATAGATATGGAGA